CTGATTAACAGCTTTACAAGATCAAAACTGAAAGGAATTGCCTTTCAGACACCTGGTTGGGATGTTCTGCTCATCAGTAGGTGAGTGAATACAAACGTTATCCTGACTCAGAAACTCCAGACTTCCAACACTCAATAAAAGAAACCAAATTTTGTCACTCGTAGAAGATACACGGCACAGTTTCGTTCTTACAGCCTTGATATTCCTGTAATCATTTAAATCCAACAAAGCAGTGTAAACAATAACATTAGCAACGGATAGAAAAAGGAAAAGTCACAAGCAAGACAGGCACAGCTCATTCCAAGAGCTGCAATTAGAGAGCAGCATGAATTACCGGCTGTCGTTCTGATCACCCTGCGTGGATTCGTGCTCTGTGCAAGGCACACCCGTAGCCCCTTGAGAAACTTTCTGGATATATATTTTTTTTTTTTTTACTACACTTTCTTATGGTATTCGATGAAATGAACCATCTGTCAATGACAGATATAAGCAGTTTACGTTTCTATACTGCATGCTAACAGCCCAACGCACTGTACCAGCTCACCATCGCGCTCCTGCGTGGTCAAATTAAGTTGATGAATTCTCTCTTTGAAACAGCCACTTTCAAACACTTCCAGCACCTCTGCGATACAACGTCTCTTTACTTCTAATTTGCATAGCTAAGAAATTTGTTTGGACTGAGATTTTAAAGCTGCATCATAGAGATGAGTTTTATACCCAAGTCCCAAGCCCTTGGAAATAAGAGGTGAGTAACTGCTGACATGAACTTCACCCGCAGTGACTCGAACAGCTCTGACGTGCAGGAATTTTTAGCACTGCGATTTTATTTCCTCTTAAAAAAACCCAAAACAAAACAGTGTCCCTCAGGTGGTCACAAGATCAAGCCCTCAAGACGGTACCTGGAGATGTTTATTTGTGGCATTTAATATTGCTGTGGAACATAGAGGCTCTGCTTCACCACTCGGTTCCATTTTAAATCCATGATTAAGGCAGCCCGCACGTACCTGTTTTCTTGAAACATCATTAAAAAAAGCTAGAAACAGCCAGGAAAGGAACGAGAGGCAAAAAGATACGTTCCTGGGAAGACAACATGCCTTTCCAGGTTAGATGAAAGACATTTTCGGTTCTACTCTTATGCCACTTAGAGATTAATAGATAAATGATGCATACGGTTTTTTTACGTTTTTAACATACCCACCACGCTCTGGGTATCGGTGCTCTCCTTTTCCTACCTGACACTTTAACAAACCGGCTGACACGTTTTCATGCTGCGCAGTCGGGATGACAGAGCAGATCCTGCTGCTCCGACACGCAAGAGCACGACAAGACCGACGCGACGTGCCAGGGAGGGCCGGCAGGTCACGGCACACACCTCGACCCCCACCACGCCCCACCGACCCCCCGGCAAATGAGACGCAGGGGTCACGGGCAAGATTACACGGAAACTTGAGGAGGATTTGATTTTGACAGAGTATCTTTGTTTAGTATCGGCATGTTACAGAAACCCGTGTCAGAAATACAATTTTTGTGACATCCTTTTCTGTACCAGCATTTGGAAAGCGCCGGCGTCTTCCTGATGGAGAGCTGCATCTGTCAGATGAGGCTTCTGCAGATGATATGCTGGTGCCACGGGTGCCAGAGGACTTTTGTCACCAGAAAGAGGCAGATATAGAGGGCTTTTAATGTCACGCTCTTTTGCTCTACTCTTTAACTCACTATTTTCTCATTTAAAAAGAAGCTAAGATTTTGCTTCAGGTGCCACACTGTGAAATCCTAAATAACCACAAAAACTCTGGAATCCATTTGTACTCAACTCTGCGCGCTGTTCATTTCAACTTTTTCGATGAGACCCTTGCTCAGCCTTCAGCTGTCTGATGTCAACAAAGGGCTGGCACCTTAAGCCCTTTTTTTATTTTTATTTTTTTATTTTTTTTTTTAATTTTGAAGCAGAAGTGCAGGGCAATACGTCTTCTTTATCACCTTAACCACCAGGAGTTCCAGACTGAAACAGTCCCTTCATTAATTTTGATACTTTTTTCTTTTTTCTTTTTTTTTTCCCCCAACAGCACCTTTCTCCCTGAATAAGCTGGAAATGGCAGATTTTAACCCAATCCACCAGCCACCACACCATGAAGATGGTGACAGCACACTACAGCTCGGACAGGAGCCGGTACCCTGTCTCATTTACCCAGCGAGATGTTGGAGATGCTGAGCTCTGAACAGAATAAACCCTTAGTAAATATTCTCCCGTGAGATGCAGACCTTGGCTCCAGCTTTAGCTTGGGCTCTGAACAAGCCCAAAGGTGCTCCCAAGTCCCAAAATACAACAGATTTTGCTCCTCACTGTGATGCCACAGGCAATACCAAAGCTTTTCCACCACGGCTACATCAGTTGTCCACCTATAACACAAGATGAGCCAGGTGCTGGAAAAACGTTTCCAGCATGTTTAGAGGCATAAACAGCTGCATCAGCTCAGGACTTCTGGGATCGAGGCCCCAGTTTCCGCTTTTTCAGGTCTCTTGTCTCTAAAACAGGGCCAGGATACTCCTGCTCTCCAACATGCAGCAAGAACGGATTAATTAATGTCTCTACAACACTTCGAAGATGTGGATTTCTGTACAAGTGTAAAGCAGATAAGGCTGGTATTTTTATAGCTCAGAATCAAATTAAAAGTAGAGCTAAAGGAAAAGTCAGACAACAGCCTGGGAAAGACATCATGAAAGGTTATTTCAGCAGAGGAGTTGTTATCGCTGGCTGCCCTCTTTGCCGAAAAGCTGCATTTGATCATATATTCTTCTGAATTATCTACTGCATTGCTTGAATGCTAAAGGCTGAAATAAATACAGGATAAATATTAGAGGGTTCATTCCAGACCGCACTGATGCTTGAAGCTTGCAGTCTCTAATTCAAGCTTTCTGAGTAAGAATTAATTATTCAGTGTTGTAGGAAAAATTAATACAGGTCACTCAGAAAGTATATATGAACAAAATCTAGATTTTTTTTTTTTTTTTTAAATCTCTCCAGTATATTTTGCCTACAGATAGCTTGTCAGGGTTCTTTTGCTTGTGTACAAAACGTATAGCTTTGGCTGTCTCTTGCTTACGAGGCAGAAAGGCTCGTGTGTCTCATGCCTGACAGGCCTTCTCCTGCCCGTCACCCGCCTCAGAAGCAAACCCCCAGCTTCGCTACAGCTTGACTTTTGAAATGCAATGGTACTTTATCTAGATGCAGCTTGTGAATCCTAAACACGGGAGGAGTTGCAAACCCCCTCGCGGGGGGGGGGGAGCTGCAGAGGG